TGGAAACCGAGCTTTACCCTGACTATCGCACATAATGGGTTCCCTGAGTGGGCGGGGTCATGGGAGGAAAACCTAATGTTTGCTTGTTCCGTCGCTGGAAGATTATTTTAGACGTTGGGGGGTGGGGGGTGGTTTGCAGTTAGTCTTGGGGTTCTCCTAGCTTCGCAGAGTTTTGTTTTTTCTAGATGCTGAGAAATGCACTTACGTGCATTACGAGACCTCTATTGATGAATGAATACACACTGAATTAATATATTTCCCCCATTTTAGCAAATAATAATTGCGATGATGAAGGTGATGATGATGATGATGATAATGTGATGATGATAAGGGGGAGAAGGCATTGTAGTAGGTGACGACAGGCTCCTGTGCAAGGTTAATTAACATGCCCTTTGATATGAGTGTCAATCGAGGGTCGTATCCCGAGTTCGTCATCACATTTTCAATGCACACAATTGGACAACAGTAATTATCTATAAGTTATATAATCAGTACATTCTCGACTGTCATGAAAATATATATCTAAAAAATTACGTTATATGCATGCTCGGAAGCGGAAATTTTAACCTAAAAGTTTGATATAGGCCCTATGTTTCATGTTGTTTGTTGAATGGTCTTTAGTAATATTATATTCTAATATGACCACAGCATAAGGAAAAATCATAAGGAAGTCCGCTCTATTTCCAAATTTCAGGAAATTGTACGTTTTATGCATGCTTCGACTTGGGAATTTTGTTTTATGTTGTTTGCTGAATGGTCTTCTTAAAAAATATAACAGTCTAATATGACCACAACACAAGGAAGTTCATTCGTTAAATGTTTAGTAGATAGTACAGAGAATTGTGATTGTTTATCAAAATCATTACGGTATAAAGGGTCGGTGACCTGCGGATTTTAGCACGAGAACGCGTAGGCGTTACTCCATGCTGAGCATGGATAGCTGTTCTATAGCTGGGTACTACCATGGATGTCCTCCATGGTACTACATTCCGGCTAAAAAAAACTCTGTCTTTAGGTCTCCGCCTTTTGGCCTGTTTACATCCTGATTGATGCGTCGGAGATAATAGTTGTGTTCGTTGACAATCAATAGAAAATTCAAAATTAGTGAGTGGTACCGTAAAATAATCGAGCTCTCCTTTCGCCCTCTGCTGGATCCGTCACTGAACTCATGGGTACACTTCGTTTATTCCCTCTTTCTTTCTTCCCTTTAACTCTTCTCAATTTTTTTTTAATTTTTCGGCGTGACTGACAGTGTGGGGGCAACGGGCCCCCGTGGCCCCCGGCTGGATCCGCGCCTGAACCTACCTAGGCATATAGGTTGGCAAATCAGACAAACTATGCTATGCCCAACTAGCCTTCAATTAAATAAAATTATACAAACATATTATATAAGTAGTCATATGATTACAGGTTTACATTGTACCAAGGTCAATATTAATGATCGCATTTATTTTTCATTGAAAATAAAAAAAAAAAAACTTTAAAAAAGTATATAATATAAACTATAATACCGTAGTTTCATTCAATGGGTTTTAAACAGTTTTAAACAGTAAAAGCTGGGTTCTGATGTTTGAAATCATGCTTCTGATTTTGTGATCAATCTGCTTTGCATTGTATATAGGCCGTACGTTATTTAAACATGTTTAGTTCTCACTAAAAGTGGCCTATTCTATTCTCTGTATTTATTTACACCTAGAGTACATAGGACCTACTGAAGGACTATACCAGTCCGAAAAGTCATGTACCACTCTATGTTCTCTAACAACGGAGTTAACAGTTAATTTTTCAATCTCCAGCAAATTTAAATAG